ATTATTATTATTTTTTTTTTTTTTTTTGAGTTTTTATAAATCACATTTCATACAAATAAGACACCTCAATTAATGCCAGATATGATAGGCTATAAGTTCTTAATTCATATTGGGCCTGAGGGAACAAAGGAGTAATAAGTCATATTTTTCATTTCTTTCTACCTTCAGACATAAAAATAGCTACATAGTCATACAACAACACACATATGCAAACTTCGGCCTCAAGCAGCATACAAAGCTATAGGAATGTGTATGCCTAAACCTAACTACTTTTTTCCCATAAATAATTTTGAACGAAAGTACCAACAACAAATGTTGCTGAAGAAGCTCTAAGTGAAAGGAGAACAAGAGTTCAGTTGCGACGCTGACAAAATCGGGGAACGGTGGTGCCAGCGCAGCCACCGAAACCTTATATATCCGCTTGCATCAACTTTATATGTGCATGTTAATATGTAGTTTTGTTTTTGTGCTTTTTCTTGAGAGTAAGTGTGATATCTGATAATTGTTGCTGCTGCTTACTGAGCCGCTTGCTCGTACACATGTAACTAGGCTAATTTAAGATTTTTGTTATATTGTATATTTTAATTTTTATATATATATTTTTTTTTTTTTTGTGAAAATAATTAAGTGTGCACAGAAGTAAACTAAAATGGGCAAAATGAATAAAGTGAGAAGTACAAAAAATTTACTCATTTTACCAAAAAAGTTATATACTATATGAATGCTTGAATAGTTGATATTTTTAGCTGCATAGTGAAACTGAAAAATGTTACAAATATACAGTTGAAGCTAATAGATGAATAAGAGCATTATCAAAAATAATAAAAAATAGTTTTATAATTTAAAATTTCTACATATATATACCTATATATTACGTTATTTGATTAATCTCAATTTCTGGAGTACTTTTAGTTTTAGATTATTTTCTAGAATACACAAAGCATATCTTTGAAGAATGTCAATAATTTTCCGTGCTTTCGTATTAACCACTGTTGTTTAAATGAACACAAACTATTCTCTCAAAGTACATCGCTTCAGCCGTAAAATAATGACAAACGGTAGTACAATAAGTGCTCAACAAAACATCACGCTCATATATCAACACAACATAATACACCACAGCAGCGCATCTGTACAGCGCTACATATAAAAAAAAAGCGATCAAGCGCATAACTTTTAATTCATCAACATATTCGTTTACACACATTGATGGACACCGCTTCAGACTCCTCGGCCGACATAGCAAGCCACATAATATTTTCTGCGATAAAAACCATCCGACGTAGATTCGAACTACACTCATATAATCTCCCTCGATCTATCTACCTCGGCCTATAAAATAAACAAATACAATTCATGAATAAACATTTAGTCTTAAGGAATCTTTTTCAAGGTTATTATATTCTTATAATTCTTATAATAATATTATATTTATTGGCAGTAGTAGTAGTTTAAACAACTGTACTTTTACGAATTGGTTTGGGAGTTCTGTCAGCATCAGTAATATTTCTGCTTTGACACCTCAAGTGCAATTAATTCAGCGTTCGCTAGGGAAGTTGATGACGAAGGTTATTTTCTATTAGTTATTAATTTAATTACCAAAATAAGTAGTGGGTATTGACTTCAAATAACTGGCGGTGAAGTGACATTTTTCTCATTTCAGTACAATAGAATTTTAAAAGCTTTTTCTATACTTTAAATTCTATTTAATTTATTTAGCTTAAATCATGTTTTATACAGGCAGGAATTTCCTTAAAATAAAACATGTTTTAATGTAACATTAAAACGAAATTAAAGTCTTAAAAAATCGTTAAAATTTTATTGTACTGAAATGCGAAAATTTTCTCAGGGTATAGGCATTATGTAAGATCTTATCATCAAGTGTCTTGTGCCTGGGATCCATGTGCGTCATTAAGCGACCCCCTTCGGACACAGCTCTTATTAAATTCATAATAAAAATCGGCTTAACTGAAAAAAAAGTCTAAAGCAACAGACGGTTGTCCAGTAAAAAAAAAATAAATTACATACAGGTATTTTATTTATTCTACATTTTATTACAGTCGTAAAAATAATCTCTATCTTACTAAATAGCAACGAATAAATGAAATAACGTGCATGCAAATTAAATATGTAAGAAAATGTAATTAAACACGAGTACTTCTCCAATATTTTTTTATATTTTATAGATAAGCAGCGCTTTCAAAGTACTCATCAGTGAGAGGGTTCAATACTTGCCTTCGTAAGAATATGCAAATGAGCTGCAGCGACTACACTTGCCAGCTGCGCACACTCAACCCCTTGACCGCGCTGTTTCTCGGCAATTAAAGCATAAGCTTTGCATAAAAGTACTATAAAACTGCCTTTGACCCCAATTCGGCGTGCAACGGATATGCAAATGCATTCCTGGCAGCGAACGGTAGTCGAAGTGCAGCCGCCGCCAATAGACAAGGCGGCTATAAAACAGTTGGATTCATTAAACGACGCACACATACTTTCAAATATGCACAGACACGCATTTTTAAGCTAATGCGCTTTAATATTATACATACGGACACAATAAATAACATACATTGGCCATGTATGCTACCTGCCACTGCCACATGCCGTCGCAGCGCCCACTCGCCGGAATCGTTGAAAGCAAGCACGAAGGCAAATGGCTGCGCTTGGATCGCAGAAATTTATGAAAGAAATTGAAAAAATCAACTATAAAAATGTATGTGAACTCAACACACAAACTCTTGCATAGTGGTATCGCCAAAACCGATAAAAGCTAAACATACACACATAGATATTTGTATATAAGCGCGCGACCTAAATTCAAGTTGCAACGTGCAGTCAATAAAATATATGACACAGCCACCAAGCGATTCTCGCAAAACGACTCGTAAAACCGCGCAGCCACGAAGTGACGCCATGGCCCAGCGCCGTGCACAGCGTGTGCACCTGTCACTCGCTACGCTCGCTAGCGGTGCTCCTCGTAGCCATTTTCCTTCGCCGACATTTGTTTTTATGCCAATTTAGTTCAGCTTGCCTTTTGTGGTCAAAATGCTGAAACATTTTAAGGTCAATTAAAAGTGGTTGCAATTGTTGGGTTCGATCGACATACAGACAAAGACAGCAAGAGGCGAGTAGAAAAAGAGCAACAAAAGCCAATGTTAAGTTCAGTGCAGGCACAATAGAATAAAAGCACACCAATTCGTAGTTTTTTGTAGCAACAGCGGTGTACAGAAGAAGTAGTGAGTGCTYCATCGCTTTATTAAATAATGGTAGCAGGGTTGCATTGACGCTAACGCTATAACCTTCGGCATTGTGACAAGGAAAAAAAGTAGCGTTGAAAAGGCTTCAATATTAAAAATCACAAATAAGCTGTAGAGTATGTAGAGTATACTTTATGTTTGTTTAAGGTTTTATGCAATTAGAATGCTGCCTAAATTTAATGTGGCATTATCTAATATATATTTTGAGTCATAGGGCACAGAGAAAATGCTGTAGCAAATTTTGTCAATTTTTTTATTAAAGTGAACGAGAAAAGAGAAAAATAGAATTAAAAATGAATTGAAATATTATTACAAACATACCTGAGTCAGCATTTATTTAAATTTTTCTTTTACAAGTGCCCGCCTCAGATACTTAACGTAAACAACTTTTAAAATTGGCATTTAAATATCCAACCATTAAGCCCAGCAATGGTGTAAGAGTTCTATCACACATAAAAACTATAATTTTTCCAAAATTTAGCAAACTTTGATTCATTTCTACATATCATAAAGTAAGGAAGAAAAAGTATTGTTAGCAGAAAAATATCTATAAAATCTAAACTCTAAGTTAATAAATAACAAAGGCTACAATAACAATTATACTAACACTACTACACATAAGTGCTGCGATGATTATCTCTAATTTACAGTAGTTGAGTTGAATGATGATGAGGAATACACTGCGACCTTTGGTCTATTGTGCCCTCTCCTTACTCACATTGTCTCGCTTAGCCCCAGGCCATTAATGAAGTCCAGTAGACTGCTTGGCGTTAGCGAGGCAATGCGATACCTATCCGGAAAAAAAACTCCAAGCGCCTTGGCTCTGCGTCTACAGACTACTGTGCAGTCGATCAGATGCTCCGGAGTTTCAGGCTCCCTGTCGCAGAAACGGCAGTTGGCGCAAGCTGATAGGCCCATGCTGTGCAGATGCCGATTCAGCTTACAGTGGCCAGTATACCATGCGACTAACAGCCTGAGTTTGCTCCTGGGGAGGTTTATTACGATTTTGAACTTTTTCAGGTTGTAACCTCCCATTAGCAGCTTGGCGTGTCTCATACCATGAGTTTGTCGCCAGTGCTCTTCCCTGCCCGCTCTTTCCTTTTTACGGAGCAGCTCCTTCATGSTGTGGGGACCCACTCCCGTAAAGGGTTCAGGTCCTACCATCCTAGTGGAGGCTGCGGAGCGGGCGAGCTCGTCCTCCAGTTCATTGCCGGCCTATTCAGCCTCTCCCTGCAATACATGCACTAGAAGCGACTTGATCTCGTAAGAGGATATCGCCTTTAGCGCCGCTTGACTATAGCTAAGAATGGCTATACGCTCATTGCGATAGTTGCGATGGAGGTTTATTTCTATGCACCGGCTTATAGCATACACCTCTGCTAATTTACAGTAAGAAAATTAACAGTTTAACATACGGCTCACGAAACAACAAAAAAATATGTAAAAAAAATCATAAACCGTAAAAAATGACAATGAAACTGGCGCTTACTTGTTTAGACTCTAATGGCAGCCAATAAAATTATAGGAAAATATAAACAGTCAAATGCAAACAAATAAACACTGGAAACAATTTAGCATAATTATATTTGCAATTTACCATTTACACCAACGAAAAGTTTCAGATTGTATGCGAGCAAATATAATAATAAATATTTTAGTCGCGATCAGTGACCAGATGGACAATTTGAAAAAAAAATTTAAAAAAATTAACAATCAAGCAGTAAGTTTCAACCATATACTTACTTTAAGGCCTTAAAGCACTCAGTGCGATTGTATGCATGCAGTCGGCCGACACACTGGTGTACGTTTGCCGCTAGCGGTGAACTGCTTCAGATTTTCCAACACGTTCGCTGTTTGCACGTTTTTCCACAAGTCAGCAAGTTGCCATTGTTTTGTTGCCATTGTTTTGTCAAGTATTATTGCCGCCGTTAATGAGTAGCAATATTTTGGAAACTTTATTTAATTAGAATAGAAGTTACAAAGAATAGATAGATTGCTTTAGTTTTTCAAATATTTTTTTGTTGTTGCACAATTAGAAATCGTTCAGTTTCGGGAATATAATTACTTAAGTTTAATAACAATATAAATAGTATTTTTGGAAGTTATGTGGTGATTTCAAAAATTACTTTAAGTGATCTACTTTATATTTAAGCACGTCTAGAGCTCAAAACATTTTTAAAGCGATAATTATTAAAAAAAAATTGACAAAATAATCAAAATTATCTATATAATATGGATATCACATTAAGGGATTTCAGTTTTGAGTTAGATTGCCGTCTAAAATTTTAGTTAGTATAAAAAAGGTTTATGTAATACATACAACAGGTAAAGTAAACACTTCTAAGATTGAACAATGGTAGTAAAATTTTTCTTCGACCAGGGTTGCCATCACGTAGAAACAAATTTTTATGTGAAGAAGCTTCATGTAACAATATTTAAATATTTTTACTAGAGTATTTTTTATTGTAAGCTTTTTTTTTTTTGTTTTTTATAAATTTTACGTTATAATATCGGTATTCATATGCAGAAGGGTTACTCTATAATAGAATTTTTATTCTGTAGCAGTTCCGAAATATATTTATGTTACGATATCGGACAATCGATCGAACTTTGATGGAAATATAAATACCATTTTAAATAATTTTAGAAAATGTTATAATATAACGTTGCAATTTTCTGAAAACGTGAAACATTTTTCAATTAAATTTTATTTTTTATTTATTTAAAATATTGCTTTTGGAGGATCAGAATGCGGCGAGCTTTAATCTAAAGCAATCGATCTGCCATAGAACCTTTTCGCAGTTAATTACTGTTTTTCAATCCAACATATTCCACTTAGTACACTTCAAAGTTTTTAATTGATTTTTTATTCACTTCATTACATTTTTTTCCTTTCTTTCCTTCTAAAGGTTTAATATATTTAGTAAGAAAATGTTTTAAAAAATTTTATGAGCTTCTGAATCAAAACAGTGACATGTTCAATGAGCGCAGCTACTTGCCTATGTGGAAAATATTGATTGGCGCGCTCTGTGCACGCTTAATTAAACAATTTATTTGCAAAAATTCTACAGAATATAAACAGCGCATGCAAAGAATCCACCTTTAATTGTATACGTGTTTCTATGTAGTAAAATGTATACTTTATTAACTGTTTTGTAGACAGTACCGAGTTAAAAAAGGAAACGCTAAACATGCGGGAAGTTGTCGAAAGCAGCAAAAACAAATTATTGCTAATGCAACTTTTGCTAAGCAGTCAAGTTAAAATTACTATAATTTGTACAAATAACTTCTTCTTTGGAACGGGCATATTTTATACTATACCTTATTGAGATGAGTCGCGCGAAAGTTGTGAGAATAAAAAGACTTAAGACACGAACTTGCGCTGCTTTAGTTGAAAGAAAAAAGATGTTACCCTAAAGAAGTTCCGGTGAAGTTATTTGAATCACCTCACAAGAAACGGAAATAGTCAAATAAATTTGAGAACATAATTTTGAATAATTTTTTTTTGTATAACTTTACATATAGCACACAAATAATGTCTATTAAAAATCCTTTGGGCTTGTGTCCCTCAATATCAATCAACTAATGTTTAGTTTTTACGGTTTAATATTTTTGGAGTTCTTATTTATATTAAATATGTATGTTTTGCTTTTACACAAATATCGTTAGTCTTTTAAAAAATTCAAATTTCATAGATAAGCAGTAGAGATGACCCTCTTCTTTTAACAAGTCCGGTAGGAAAAAAATAAAATATTTTAAAATGGTAATATAATCAAACAACAGAAAGCACTTAATGTATGGCACAAAACAAAAATAAGAAAAATAAAATATCTAAGAACGGAGAAACTGTTGCACAAAGGTGCGTTCAGCAAGTTTCTTTTCAAGTACACACACAATAACAATTTCACATACGCTCATATGTTGATATGAAAGAGATCGGCAGTAATGTAGGCTGCAATCAACGTGAAAACCATCTTCGAAAGCTGAAAGTGAGTGAAGGAGCACAAATGTAAACAAAACCAAGAGAAAGAGAATACAAAAAAAAAAAAAAAAAAATAATAATAATAAAAATAAAAAAATGGAAATTTCTCTTCTGAATGACTTCATTGAACTCTATAATTTAGTGATATTATGTCAGTTATCTTTACCGCCGTCGACGCCACCGACGACTGGCGGTACAGCGGCAGAGCTACATACAAGTATAAGCTTTCAAAATTAAACAAAAAAAGAAATGGATGTCAAGTATAATTTGGAAATTTTGAGAATTATTTCTTCAATTTTATCGTCCATAGTTTTAATTTACTTTCGAAATTCCTACCAGGTTAATACTTTCTTCTGAAAAACGTCTGTGCTTAGAATACAGCTCAGCTAAGCAACCACATTCACCAACTTCTACACAAAACCATCTCTAAATAGAAAGATTATCGTTTTACAAATGGACTTAGTTGTACTTAAAACAAGTTAAAGTGTCAAAGTTGGCCCCATTGTTACACGGCATATATCTAAAAAATATTTTGTGGATGAAACCATAGCTAAGTGGCATTCAACAATTGAAAAGGTGCCACAGTACAAATTTAAATTGATATTGAATAAAAAATAGAACAAAAATAAAACAACAACTACAAATTAAAACAGAGTGCAAAAAAAAAAAATACACAAAACTTAAAAAAGTCAACTTATTGCTCATTTTCGCACAGCTTACGCTCGTAAGCGCTTGGTTCAGTAGCCGCTTGCGAACCAGCTAATGTTATACAACAACAACAAGACGTGAACTATCCGAACATATTAAGTGTAGTTTTAACTATACTTCATTTATGGCCACGGAAATTTTGGTTTTCGCAGCTTTAATTTTTTAATCCCGAAATTTTTCGGGATACCGAAACTGTCATATTAACATTGTTTTTCCTAACTTTAATGTCCCGAAATGTCGGGATTACCATTAATAAAATAGTTTTTTAATAAAATTAACGTTTTAATTATTATTAGCTTAATAAACGTGAACAAAAGTTCTTGTTTGTTAAGCAGGCCTCACATTGAAGCAGTAATTTTATACGAAAAATTTTTTTGCCATATAACAAATAATAATTGTAGTTGTAGCAGACCTAATTCATTTAATCCAAGTCGCATTTGTTGTTTCCGTCGGTTGGCTGGTTGTTTTTAGCACACTCGAACACTTTGACAAACACTCTTTTATTTGCTTTCTATTATTTATTAACTTTATTGCTTTCACATTTATATTTATATAAGCGACATTTGCGACAGATAACAGAAGAGATGTTAATTATTTTACGAGATTTGAATATTTAGTTTTATTAAACTTCACAACCAAACACTTCATTTGTTTATGTATTTTAACTTATGTATACATTTATATTTAAATTATTGCCATTACGTAGAAAACAAGAGGCTGCACTGAAAGAAATATAAAATATTTATAAATAAGAGAAAATAAAGTAAGCTTAAGGTAAGTCAATAGAAAATACATCAAAAACTCAATGGCATGGGATTGGTCTAAATGTCTATGCATACACACGCACATCCATTAGAACTCTCACCAAAAGCCACTCATGTTCTTCGCAATCTCTTCCTTATCATTTTTCCCTAGAGTCACATTTATTCTACTTTACATGCTAACATACATACATATTATACATGTGTATATAAATAGAAATGTTAATTCTTTGGTAATACATTTGTCACGCACACCAGGTCTTTTATACACACATTAATTACTTGAATACCTAAAATTCTTTCTATGCATATATACAGACATGAAGTCACACATATAAGTAATAAACAGCTTGGTGCTTGTTGCGTAACAAAAGATGCTCAAGCATTTCAGTTGTCATAGCAGGAAAGGGTTCATAATGGAATTTTGAGATATGATTTGTCTCAATTCTCCTTTTTTTGTTGGGATTTGAGTGTTTTCGAATATAGCGTTAGGAATTATTAATGGTGATAATGAGGACACTAATTTTTGTGAGCGTTTTACCATATTTTTTTTCTATTAAAGTCAATAATTGATGAAAATTGACCGATTTGAGAATATTCGACGTGTTTATAGCACTTCTTGTCTCTTAAGTTCTTTTGCTATTTAAGTAAAAAGGAAGCAAATTGGAGAAATCTTTAAGAAATTTGGATTTTTTAAAGAAATTGTTTGTTCCATCAAATACCGAAAATTTAGAAAAAAATTATTTGTTTTCACTAATTCGACGGCTTATTGAATACTTATTAATAAAGCTAGTTAATATAGTTCAGACGTTTTTAAAAAGTCACCAAGTGGAACTGATAACACTAATATTATAATTAATAATTTTTTAATTTTTTCACTGAATTCTCGGATCTTTAAATTGGTCAGAAGCGAATTGTTTATTACTAGAATAATGTGGGACCAAATATCTATATAAATATATATATCTATAATAAATATATCTACCAAATATCCAACATATCTTTACCACAATTAGGACTAGCATGTCGTATTCATAAATTTGAAGATAGGCAACAAAAGCTTGGTTTCCACAAATAATTTTCAGGATGTCTTTACTAAAACCAATTTATGAAAAAATTGTTCTCGTCATAAAATTATATTAGAATATATAAATTAAGAATAATTATCATATGTAACTATCCCAGGATCGTGGGGTGCAGCTATAGAGCCTTAAATAACCTTAAAGACCGTTTTAAATTTATTCCTCGGAAACAGTATTTATTTAAGCGCTTTTGGAGATCACATGTAATACTCATCTTCAGAACTTTTACTTGGTACTCTTAAAAAATACTAAAATATGCCGTAAATTTACAGAACTGACATTGTTGTTTATTAGTTAAATTCACAAAATTCGCCTTATTTAGACTTTCATTCTAGGACTGCTCTAAATTGGGTACAGCAAACTTTTTTATCAGCTTGGTTTCAAAGAAATTAAGTTCGAAAATTGCAAATACAATAAATGTTTAAAAAATTTATTATTTCTCTATATGCAGCAAATAGAAACGCTGACAGAAAGCACAATTCTAGAAAAATAAAATATTTTCACCAAAATTTTAATTACCACAATTTGAAAAATTGAGTCGTTGCGAAAATGAGCGTCGCGTTGTGCGCGAAAATGGATTTGGCTATTTGCACAGTTGTGTAACATAATGCAACAACAGCCACCATAACAAGAAGAAAAAAAAATATTTCACATTTATATATAACAAATTTCACTTTTCTTCAAGCAAGAGTGAAGACGAAAATCCACATTTCCATGAAAATCAATATTTTCCACTTCTAATGGAAATTTGAATTTCTTTAATGTGTGACAGACAGACACCCACGCGGTGTGGCTGTATCGAAGTAAACTATGAGAGCGCCGAATATAACAAAGTTTGCAACAGCCAAAATAAATTCCACGAACTTGTTGTCAGCGTTTGACGCGAGTATGAGGCATAAAGCAAAAGGCAAAATAACTAAGAACCAAAAAATAAACGAATAAAAAAAAAATTGCAATAAAAATTGACAAACTATTGACTGCGGTTAAGTAAAAGTTGTCAGGCAACTTCTGCAACAAATTGACAGCGCGCCAGCAGTGTTAAGTGGGGGTGGTGGAAAAAGACGAGACAACAAAGATAGTTTTGCTGCGGCGTTGAGACAGTGTGGCTTTGCATTATTTATGGGGTTTGAATATACGTGTGTATGTATTTGGCAGCCTGTGGCAACCACAGCTGTTTTTGCTATGCTTTTGGCCGCCGCATGAAGCTGGTTGCCGAAGGAAATGAGGTTGCAACAGCCGGCAGCGCAAGAAAAATGACGGTTGAAAGAAAAACAAGGCAAGTAGATGATAATACAGTGCACGCGACAATGGTTGTGACACAAAAAACAACAAAAAAAGGAGTCCTACAAGCAAATACTGGTCGGTGCAGATAAGATGAAGAAGAAGCGACAATTTGTTCAATAATGGTTTTATTGACTTTTTTGCTGTTGTGGTGTTGTTTTCGCACACTTGACAAGCGCACACATGCAACAGCAAATACCTTGCCTTGCCTGCCACAAGCCAACATCCAGTCGCCAACGAAACGGCGACATGCAGCGACCTGCGGCCATGACAGTGTCTCGACCACCTTGCAGCATATATGCATATGTCATTAGCGTGCAGCGTTTAGTTTGATGACATAAATTATTTAAAATTTTAATACTATAGGAGTAGGAAAATAATTTTATTGATAAAATAATTTTATTGATAAAATAATTTTATTGGTAAAATTTTTTAATTTTTATTTTGAAGTGGTATGTCTACATTCCAATCATACATTTTGTTTTGTTTTTATTATTAATTTCACGAAAGTTCTTTTGTTATTGCGTTGATTACAATGTAAATGTATAAACTATAAATTATAAGTATATAAAGTATTATTTAAAAAATATTTTTTTTTTCCACAATCACTAATATTATTGCAGACACTAGAAGTTGTAAGCTTTAGTCAATCATTATTTATGCGGAATGAACGCAATTTTTTTTGTATCGTTTTTGTGCTCATAACGAAAAATATTTAGTAAAGTTTTTTAATTGCAATAAAACAAATTTTTTTGTAGATTTTATTTTAATATCTTTTACTTTTAAATTTATTAACTACATTATTCAAATTTTTTTTAAATGCAATCACACAAATTTTTATACATTTTTATTTTTTAATTTCTTATATTTTATTAATTTTTCTCTTTATATATTTTTTTTTAAATATTTTTTACTTTTTAACTTTTACTTTATAAACTTTTATTTTTTATTTATGGTTTGCAATTTACTTGGCGCATTAATTCACTTTACTTTAGTTTGAGAAATTTTTTTTTTTGAGTATAGGTTTAATAATCATTCATAATAATTATATAGACAATCTAATGCGTATTATGCAATGGATTTAGTTTTACCGGTTTCACACATAAAAAATAATTAATACTTGCTTATAAGTTAAAATGATCGTTTTGCAAAAATTATAAAGTTTGGCGTTGACTTCATTTTTTTATACAATGAAATGAATACTGCGTGTTATTTAGTCTTAAATTTCCAATCCACATATTTTTAACACGTTCTGAAATCAAACTTTTTCAAACCATGACACTCAAAACAAAAATTACAAATTTTAAATTTTTGATTTTATCCTCAACCTCATTGTTTAAATTGCTTACCATGCGAAATTCTCTCTTCACTAATTAAATTGTGTTTGCATTAATTTTCTATCTTCTTTGTTTTGGTTTTGTTATATATTATATTTTAGTCTTGTCATCACATTTTTTTGTCGGGCACAATTGTTTTGAACCCTTTTCACTTTTGTTCGCGAACAAAACTTGCAAGTTGACAATTGCTTCCAAAACACTATTCAGATTACCAAGTGCTTTAATCCCATTACTTTTCGCACCAACAAATACACGCACACCCACACAAGTACAACACACATTAATTTGGTTAAGAATAGGTATATTTTACGGCCCGCCAACTTAAGGCAAAATCAAAAACAACTAAGCTAATGCGACACATTTCCATTCAATTGAATTCACCTGTTGAAAAAACCACAAAACTCAGTAATAGCAGTGGCAGCCGCACCGAAAAGGCACAGATTKCAAATTTGCAGCAATAACGGCAAAAACAATTGCAACAACATAAACACAGTGCATTGGCAAGTTTGGAGCAGCAAGAGAAAGAGCAACGAACGAGCCACTAGGCGCAGGTAAACCGAGTTGCGTTCAATCTGCGAACAACAACAACGACAACGACGATTGTAGTCCAAAACACCTACCAACTAGGCGGGCGCATTGAAGTTGGGGCGCAAAACTTGTTTTCACTTCACTGCTCCAGACCTGCCCAAACAAGCAAGCCGGCGAGCAAACACACAAACAACAATAAGCCCAAGCGAGAAACATATGCCACGGATAAACACAACAATGACGACAAAGCTTCGATCGCATGTAAGTACACAACCCGCCGTCTAAACGGTAGGCAACACTCACGCTCCACATTGACTGAAGGCAACAAAAGTTCGTTCAACACTGAATCGCGTCAACATCGAGAGACATGTGCAGCCCAAACTGGCGTACATACAACACCTGCAAATTCGGCGGAATGAAATGGCATTGGAATAAGGGCAAGCAACACATATTAAGCGAATATTTGACGCAGCGCTGAGCACAGGTGATGAGAGGATGCGACAGAGAGGGTATTTATGTTCTCTGGTCAAATTTTCTGTTGTTTCGTTTGATGTCGGACGGCTTGCTGGCTAGTTGGCCGGTTGGCTTTTTGACCAATTTGTTCGAGTGTTGGCTGGTCGATTATTTTATTCGTTTTGGATTAACAGGTGCATAGCCAGTGTTCAGTTGCTCTTACTGTAAATTGGTGAGGCAAATAGAAAATATTGTTACGAGTACATGAGTTGCAAATGCCAATTGTAAGTTAACATTCCGCTGTTATGTTTAATGCTATGGAAATGGGACAACAGTAAAAACTGTTAACTACAATTCCAGCCGTTGTTAACACAAAATTAACATTGACTGGTTAATTCAGAGAATGTTATTCGGCATGAACGAGAAAATGTTATTCACTAACATTCTTGATATTTTTTAACATTCTCTGTTTTTAACATTCTTTACTTTACGAGTGCTAACATTTTGTGATTTTAAATGTTGCTGGTGGTAACATTACGTTTTGATTATTGCAGAATGTGAATCAATTGAGCTTGATAATGGTTATGAGCGTTTTTTGAAAAATATTTTTCTTGAAACAGCACCTTTCGAAATTTCTTGAGGGATTACAAATCATTAATTCCATAACTATTAAATTCTGAGAGCAAATTCTGCGCAGAGCTTTCCATACAATGAGCTACCGGATTTTTGATCCGAAGAAAAATCGAACATTGTTAGGCCGAAAAATATAAAACCTGCCACATTTACAATTTTTAACTTTTTTTTTACCGCATTTTATTATTCAGACAATAGCTTCTATAGAAAACTTGTATTTAGGTTTCATCTACGTAGAGAGCTGGAATCACTGCAGTATTGAGCACCTTGTTTCAGTGATGTTAGAGATCATCGAAAAATATTTAATTTTTTCTACTAAAAATTTTTGTTGTGTATACCATTAAAATATTTGATCTAAGTTTTAGTATTCAGATCCAATATACCGTTGCCAAAAAATGGACAGATAACGGGATTTTCACTACAGCGGTGGTAACAGTTGCAGTATAAGCTCGGTTTACAATAGCTACTGCCGCTATAATCGTGGCAAACTTCATCCACACCCTTGCGACATAATGTGCGTGGAAAGCAGTAATCAGTGTTGAAGTTTATACTGAAGCTGCCTATTAAAAGAGAAAAAAAAAAAAATAAAAAATTAAATACTTAAGACTTTAAATGCTTTACGTGAAAAGACTAACTTGCCATGTTAGCAACTTTCAGGATACACGCTGTTTGGACCGCAATTAATGGATGGACCGAAAGATTTCCTTTCAAAGAAAGTAAATTATTATTCATTATTAAGGAAATATTCTCTAATAACTGTATTATATACGAACAGTGCTTCTGTTCCATTTTGTCGCAAACCATCACCATAATCAATTTCAATCTCGGTGAATCAACCAAATGAGGGATAAGACGCCATTTTTAATATTCTTTCTTGCAAACTTAGCTTCGTAATTTTCGTTTGAGTAATTCTACACTTTTCTTTAGCTCGTTAGCTGTATATGCTTTCGATACTTTTTCCTCCATTTTTTTGTATAGCTTTTTCAAGCAGTTTTCATTCACATCCTCACTAATAATTTATGCAATTTTCTAATTAATTATTCAAAATGTTGCTAGTGGCTTTTGAATAATTCAATCAGCTTTGAATTTCAACCACTAACGGTTTGTGTTGCCCATACTTTCATTGTCGTCATCTTATCCTTGACCGCTACTTATAGTTCAATGAAGTGTAAGACGTAGATTTCTGGGTAAGCAATGATGTAGGTCAATGGGATGAACATATTAAAACAATTCATTTAGTAGTGATGAAACATTTCTAGCAAATGTTATTTGTGTGCTTTAAGGGGGTATTCTAGTTTAGAAATTTTAAAAAATCTATTTTCTTTTTTGCTTATTTTTACGGTATAACCCTTCAATAAAAAGCCCCTAAGAGGATTTTTCGGAATTCAAACTATTTTCCGAATTACAGCGTATTTTGTAACGCGCCGACAAAACCGTTTCGCAGCCGGTAACAACTCTAAACTCGTTTTTCTCATAACTACTTTTCTAGAAGCAGTGTACATGATATTTCAAGTTCTGCTCAACCGATTCAAATAGAGCTTTCTTATACATTATAGTATCGCACTACGAAGAGCTTTCGAAAGACATTTTCTTTTTTTTTTTTAATTCCTAATTTCTACTAATATCAATTGGTTTAATTAACTTAACCAATACCAATGTCAAAATTTATTTCAATACCTATGCCAAAGACCTGTATCAACGATGAGTTTAAATATATAAAATTTTCGTAAGGATATATTCAAATTACAAACTTTAAATAATTCCTCCCACTATTGCTATGACAGATAAGTGTTGTTGACTAATTTCATTTTACGTCTAAGTGTGTTTAAATGTATAATTAATTAAGTATTTTTTTTTTATCTGTAATACATTTTAATTAATTCAAATTTGACCACAAAGCCAGAGCGTTAAGACCAATACCGAGCTATAAAAGGAAAGTTGTCAAACGCTGCTCCACTAGTGCAGCAGCAACATCAGTTGTTGAAAAAGTTGAAAAAGCAGCGCTTTTCAATTAAGAGGCCAGTATTAAAAACCTGTAACGCATTCAAAGAACAACGTATGTGTACTGGATAACTAGGTTAAGTTGGCTGCTGGTAGTCATTTTTGTCGGTGACAATTATTTTACAAAACTTATTTACTCTATAATTTTAAGCTCTTCTTTTTCGCCCAATGAGTGTGAGCCCGGCAATTCAGTAGATCCCACGGAGTGTGCGAATGGTGAGAACACAATTTTTGTTTTCTTAATTTCCAAATCGAATAAATAATTGTAAAAATTTTTACCCGCTAGGCGCATTCGACTTAAATATAAACCGCACAGATTGCGAGCTTTGCATGGTTTGTTACAGGAATATACATAGGCGAGCTTTGCCACGAACTTGGCGCTAGCAGCAATTGTTTGCCACCACTGGTTTGTAATTGTTTTAAGTGTACTGAAAGGCTGAGTGACTTATGGCACAAAAAAATACCACCGATATTAAATATGTCAAAGCGTACGAAACCAGTTTACTCGGAGTATAGCTATTACGATTGGATGACGGAACACTAAAAAAAATTTGTAAACGGACAAAGATTAAAGGGACATACCAAAGGACTCACGCCTGAAACTTGATAAGGAATGCTAAAGTGCGTCAAAGATTTTTATTCTGTATAATGAGTCATATTAACCTACAGTATTGATATAGTTTGTGTAAGTGTAAGGTGTGCTCTGAGCCGTTAGTAAGCTTAAACATGTTCAAAACATAATTAATGTTAATAAAAGTGCTTGCAAATTTACAAAACTATTAATGTTTTCATGCTTAAAAAATTGTGGGGAACATGCGACAAAGAAATATTCTCAGGCCAACTTCAGGAGCTTATTCTCTATAAACTTCTAGTGAACCTATCCGTAACGGGTTTATGTCGATCTCTGTCGCTGCAGTTTGAGGAAATATTTACGACCCCGATTGCGTCAGAAGTATTTCACACTTCTACTATATGTAGAGAAATTTTATCTTATGGTAAGGATATTTGGTCTTGACAGATCACTTTTATAAATATAACTTGATTTAATATTTCAGTTTGTGTGGTCATAAAAATTAGCTTTGGGCGATTTAAACTGTGATATTTTTAGAGTTTCTGCTAAGAAGACTGTGCTGGCATGAGCTACGTTCAACTTAAGTGAGACTTGTAAGTTTACATTATCTTCTAGAATATTATATGATCGAGGAAAGAATTTCCGAAGGTTTACCTAACCACTATATGACAGATTGTTGGAATCACCTTTAACACGCCTGCTTTGAAGGTAGGGATTTCAGGTGGATATTCAAGTACTGTTCCTACCCAAGCTGTTAGTTACCGTGCATATTCATATCTGTATCACACCTTTGAGACGTCTCGCTCAAGCCCTAAAGATTAAAGTGTCTGATAAGAATTGTATAGGGTTTCTATTTTACAGCCCCTTTTTTCTGACAGTAGAAGCCTCGATTCATACGTAGAGATGCAAATTTGTATTCATTACCGCACAGCTCCCGGAAAGTTGGAATACTATATATATTGACATTCAAAAATTCGAAAACGTGTGTCACGCAAGTCAATGGTAAGCAATTCAAATTATTAGAAACATGTGTTTTCAATACTTTAGTAGCCTAAGTCCGATTGAGTGAGATGTTTGTCGGACTAAACGACTTATAATGCCCCTTCGACATGCCATTAAGGTGCAAAACCCACACTCACAATGGCAAGAAGGAAGTGGAGCGGACCTGTGTAGCATGGGTAATAAATCGAAATATTTGGAACGCTCGAGCGCCTATAGAATTGCCGCAAATGAACTGAAATAAATTTGTGACCTCTGGCCGGAAAAGTTACACGCTCAACGGGGCAGAGTAACCCAAATGTCAAAGCAACAACAATAAAAATATGAAGGAGAAAAACGGAAAAAACTTTTTGGAACACTAATGGCAGTGAAGACATATAGTAATTGTTGTTTGCACGTGTTGCACACGCCGAAAAATTCGTTCCGAATGCCATTACCTGGAAGCAACGTGCCACACAATTGAGTCGAACGCGATGTGTGTGCTGCGTTGTTTATTGTTGTGCGATGTGACAAATAGAAAAATCCAAATAAAATTCCCAACTCACCGCAGAGCTAACGGGTTCATGAATGAACGAATGCTTGAATGGCCAAGGTGCATTAGGGAATGTTGTAGCAGGGTGAGAATCTAACTAAGCGGAATAATGAAGAACAAAGTGCAGTTGTAATAC